CTTGATGTAATCTATCCAAAGATCTTTAAAGAGAACCAAAAAATTACTGTAAACATACAATTAGATAACTGATAAGGCTTTATTAGGTAAACGTAATTATTTAATACCTATAAAATACCAGATTTCTAAGAAACTTAACTTCTTCTTTCCATAGAACCCTATGAGAAACAATACCTCTCTCAGCTTCCTTACACTGAGGTATATCAAAACTACTTTTTTAAAGTAGAAAACTTTATTCTAATTATGATAATTTACATTTTACAGACTCAAAAATACTAAGTATTTTAGAAGGATTTTGCTGAGTCTCTTTCTAGGTGAAACTGACCTTAATAAGTTCACCATAACCTTGTGACCATGCTTAATAAAACTTGCTTGAATTAGTAAAATGCCATTTTCACTCATTTCATCAGTGAAGATCTGTTTTCTAAATGTGGCTTTAACAATTACACATGTCAGTTTTTGAGACCCTAAGTAAACAGATTTTACATGACATACCTACACCCACAAGTATGTTTTACAAGTCTTATAAATGAAGACAATGTGGCAACAGCCAATGACAACGAACGTCAATTAGCATCCCACTGCCCCTTTGCTGTAACTCCTACTCCTTTTTGTTCTGACCTACACTATTAACCCTACTCTTACAAATACATTTTTTAAAGAGAACCAAACAAATCTTTCTCTAATCCAGAGTTCTTAATAGAAGACCCATAGACTCTTGAGCTTATGAACAAATAATAAGCAAAATTATATCTGCAAGTACCTATACACAAAGTGAGGGAAGAGGCAGGGGAAAGATGCAAGTTTTATTCTCAAAGAGGGCCATGACCCAAAAAAGTTAAGAAACACTCTTCCAACCATACTGAAAAGTTACAAACTCCACATGTAAACAGACTCACATGTCTATAACTATAGTTTACTTACCAGAATCTACAGATCCATACTCTCTCAAAGCCCTCTCATAATATTCTCTTAAGTTCACCATCTTGCAGGATTCCTAACAAAAATAATCAGACAATCTTGCCTCAAAAGCCTATTTTATAATGTCACAAACTCATGTCAACCACATTGTTAAGCAGCTACCATCTATTAGATATCTGAAGGAGAGAAAGGTTGTGGCTTAAGATGATCACAGCCTGGCTTTCAACTTACCCAGAGAAAAGTCATATACATTTACTTCCAGTGTGAAGTAAATGTCAAACGGTGATAAAAAGCACTTTGCTATTGTAGCATGGAAAAAGCCTACTTAATTCTCAGTTGGAGGAACATGGGCAGCTTCACAGGAAAGTACACTTCAAAGCCCTGAGGGAGGAGTAGGATTGAAATAAATGGGCGAAGGTTCTACTCCCTGTGGCTAGGGACATATTAGCTTTGTCTACCTTAAAACCTTTTATATCAAGGCAAAGTACATATAACTACTAGTTACATGACCTTCAGCAAGTTTTTTAAACCCTCTGACCTTAAAAGTGTCCTCACACATAAAAAAAAATAATAATAATATCTTAGAGCAACTACAAGGATTATATTAAAATGCCTCTTAATTATGCACCTAGACAAATAGGTGGTACTAATTTTACAATCAGTAAATGTTAATTCTTTACTTCTACTTCCACTTAAACATATTCTCTTTTGTTTCATCTTCAAAGCAGACTAACATCTTCGGTTTAAAAATCCTCTTACGGGGGGTGGCTCCATAGCGTAGTGGTTAGCATGTCTGTTTTATATGCAGAAGGTCCTGGGCTTGCGCCCCAGATAGAACCACGGACCATGCCCCGGGTGTGCGCCACAAGTGTGTAGGAGGAGACACCCTACCTTCAGAGATCCAGTTCTTAAGGGGAAATGGCAACATCCATAGGTCAGGCGGTGGAGGGGGGTGGGTCCTTTTACATATAGTCAAATAACTATTTCTTCGTTCAAATTTCTCTTCACTGACACTGTACTTGTAGTTTTATAGAAAAGTCAATTTAACCTCATATCTTACACATGCATGGAAACGAGAATCATACTTTTTGAAGAGCTCATAATGTCCATGGCACTATGCAAATTCCCTTCTATTACCTCTGCCTTATAACTAACCTGGAAATGTATTATGGCCTCCTTTATAGATAAAGATGCCAAAACTTAGAATTAAGTGACTTGCCCAAGACACATAACTATTATGTTATTAAACCAAAGCCTGGCCATTAATGATTACGCTATACTATCTCTTACACTATAGGACAAGAACAGATAAGTTACCCATACGGTGATCAAAACTATAAAAATAAGAGTGCAACCACTCTAATTTTTCAAAATTCATATAAAAATAATAAACACTAATCAAAATACCAAAATAAAGCAGAAAAAGCAAAACTAAATACTTGGGAGGTATGAAGAAATAAGTATACTGACATATCTGCTAACTGTCACTATAAATAAATCTTTTGGAGAACTACCTGGTAATATATACACAACTATAAAAAAGACTAATATTTCTAGTTCTAGAAATTTATCTCAAGAAAACAATTCAAAAGAAAAAAATACTATACAAACAAAATGCTTGTTGCACTCTGTTTTCAATATCAAAAATCTGGAAACAACCTTTATGTAATGAAATGGTTAAGAAAATCATGGGTTTAAGAATAACACTACCACAATTAAAGATAATAACCATGTAAAAACACAGGAATGTGTTTACAAAATAATGTTAACTGAGAGAGAAAAAGAGAGACCCTCCATGCGACAGAAGTCAGAAATAAAACAGTACAAAACTGAGTGTATAAAGTAAACAAAAAATTAAACAAAACAATATAAATAAATACGGTTGGTTGTATTACTGTGATAGGATGACAGATACATTTGAATTTCCGGTATTATTTTTTTAACTGAGATTTTTCTGTACTCTTCCCCACTTAGGTATGCAGTTAAAAACACCAGCAACAGTTACCGAGTGCCTTCTCTTTACCTCACAACCCAATACAAGAGACAAACAGGATGCTGTGGAGACAGAGAAGCGCGTCACCTAGCCTGACAGGGAGGGCTTTCAATAAGAGGTGACATCTAAGTTTTCTATTTTCCACACATGTACTTTCTCTTCTTTGCTTGATTACCATTCTTAAACCATCTCATGAAAAAAGGAGCTGGATTAAGGGAATGTATATTTTATTATAATGGGAGCTCTTTAAATATCAAAATGCTATCAGAGATTAGTAACCACCTATCCATTTTCCCAGACAAGAAATGCATAGACAGAACACTTACTTGCTCCTTTTCAAACTGGATTATTTTCCTGAAAAAATCAACCGAAAATGGACGGTTTTCCTGTAAACTAAAAAGGAGGAGGCTGTTATCTTCCACAATGACAGAAAACCTCTTATATCTCATGAATATAAATACCTATGGCCAGTGCCTCCACAACATGTGGTTTAATAAAGACCTGGCCACAATTCCATGTAAGAACTGGACTCGACCACCAGTCACTCTCAATGCTTTCAATCTCCAATGACTTACTCTTTACCACCAAATGCTTTCCTATCCAGTTTTCTTCCTGTTCTTCTCTTTCTCGCTTTCAGAATTTTAAGTTCCTTCTACTATTACACTCAAGGTCTTTTTTAAAAGAGACCAATAATTCCACTTCTAAAAGTATATTCTAAGGAAATAATTTCCAACAAATAATATTTGTATAGAAATGTTCATCAAAGCAGTATCACTGTGCCAAACAAATTATGGCACATCCACAGAATGGCATATCATATAGTTTTAATAAAAGATGTTTATGAAGAATTATCACTGATAAAGGCCAATCTAATGTTCACCAATAAAAGTGGTGTAGAAAATATGATTATACTATGATCTCAAATATGTGAAAGACAAATTTTAAAATGATAATATTAACAGTTTTTCCTCTTGATAATGAGGTTACCATGAATTATTAGTTATCTCTTTTTTAAAATTTTCCACAATGGGTATGAACTGCTTTTACTATTCCAAAAAGGAAAAAGAAAACTTTTAGAGAAAGTCTTCTGGATTACTTCCTCAGATACTACTTGTGATACACACATAATCTGGGTATGAGGGTCTGAGTATGGAGTAGAGACTAGAACAGCTATGAACATTTGTGAGTACCTTTTAAACACGGCTCTGGCCTTTTTGTAGCCACCACTTCGATAAGCCCAATCTAGGTACTTCTCCTTCAGAGTGACTGAGTCAGCACCTGTAACAGCTAAGATAGCTTTCTACAATTTAAAAGAAAAAAGAAACTACATGAGGAAATTTATGAATGTCAAAACAAATTTTCCCACACCCAATCCAGGCTGCTCAATTAATAGTGCTTTAGGAACACTTACTATAGAAATAACCCTAAAGCTAGCCAACTAGTGAACCTATTTGCTCATTCCCCACATACCACAAGATTTAGAACATCAGGCCTATACCTTATAGATGGCTTCAGTGTCTTCTTGTCTTTTGGCACCTTCACTCCATTCTGCCCAAGAAATCCACAATGGCAGACAAGCCTGCTCACAATAAAAATGTTAGAAAATGACAGGTCAGCACTATGCTCTGAAAACTAATCACTATAAAGACAGGTTCCTCCTGAGATAATATGTAAAATATGGCTTCGTTCCCACTCT